ACTAGTGCAAAATCTTTAAAATAAAGCGATAAATGAATTTAAGTTAAGTTTTTTTTTTTAAATAGACAAAAAAATAATTTCTAATTAAAAAGTATATATATTTTCAATTCTTAATCGCTGTTAAGACGAAGGGTTCGGCATCTCCTCTCATAACCTTTTAGGGTCGGCTCAACAAATATTCTAGGTGTTGCATCATACGATAATCGAAGGTTTACTGGCGTTACTTATTTTATTACTAATTAAACAGAGCTTACTCGTTAGAGGTGGGTTTTTAATGGCTTATTTTTATTAATAATAAAAATGAAAAATAAACCTTATTGCTAACAAAAATATTTTGTGCAAACAGCTACACCTACTCGTAAAGATCATTTTCAAATGCAAAGTTATTTAATATGTTAAAATTTAGATCTAACAACCTTGAAACTTTTAAATTTACGATTTCCAAATATAACAATTATCAAAGTATTTGCATTTAAAAGGTTTAACAAAAATGTTTGTAAATAAATTAAACGTTTGCCACAACAAATTTTAAGCAAGTTCCAAGTTAATGGTTGTTAGACAAAAATCTAATTGGAATTTTTTGTTTATATTTAAAAGTAGTTTCATCCGTAAAGCACGTTTGTAAATAAATTAAAGTTTGGCACTGCATATGTTAAATAAACTGCATATGTAAATAAATTAAGATTTGGCACTGCATATGTTGAACAAATCCCAAAACTTATAATTCTCAGACAAAACAGTAATAGGAGTTTGTTTATATTTAATGTGAAAATACATGAATTTCAACAAGTATAATGATTGAATGGTTATAAATGAATGGCTAAATTGTTTTAACGCAAATCTTTTTTGTTTATTTGAAATTTGTGAAGATTTAAAAAGATTATTGGTTTTAAATATAAATTTTTTATTAAAAAACATATTTTTAAAATAATAAGATTTTAACATGGCTTACAATTTCTTAACTTATTGAAAATGCATTAAAACATGTTCAAGAAAAAAAATATTTTTTCCTTATATATGTTTGTGTAGAAGATTTAAAATTTTAGCAAATTGCAATAAAAACATTGTCAACTACATATTAAAAATTAGAGACTTTGAAAAGACTTCATTTCTAAAGTCGTTGTTATGGAAACTATTAAGTACTAAACCTTATTACGCGAGTAGTTAAACCTCGGCATGTTGTTACTTTACGTAAAGTTTTTAGGAATAAATTCTTATAAACCTCAACGTGTGGATTTTAAGTGTTTTCAATAATTTTTTATATCTTGTTGTAATAACGTGTTTTTCTCAAATTTAAATACAACTAATTTCATAATAAGGGCATGTGAAAAAAAAAATTTATTGTGAAACAAAAAAACAAAAAAAGAGGTGAAAATATTTAAGTCTTATAACAATTGTTGCTAAAGAAAACAAACTTTTAAGTTTGCCATGTTTATGGGGATTTTTTAAGATTTCATGTTGTCTTTCTTGATAGAAAGGAAATCAGACACGAGTGTTAAATAATGACTATGTTGTAAATCTTAATCAAGTGACTGCTAACTAAATGGTGACTAAGTGGTAAGTGTTGATCAAGTAACTGGTAACTAAATGACTGGATAATAACAGTTAAAAAAAAATTTCATAATATAAATAAAAATAGAATAAAAATAATGTACACATTTTTTGAAGAAAGTAATTAATTAGAGTAAAAAAATTGCAGAGAAGTTTAGAAATTGTTTATAAAAGTTATATAAGTGAATAATACAAAGTATGCAAAAAAAAAAAAAAAAAAATACAATAGCATGCAATCAAAATTTAAAAAAGTTATAATAAAAAAAATTAAAAAAAAAAAAACTACTGAATTTATATCAGTAAAGTATCATTATGTCAGAAAATTATTGCAAATTAAAAATATTTTAAGTAATTTTTACATCAAAAAAATACTGTCACATACGTTGCAGTTATAAAAGTAATAAAAACACAACTTACCGACTGAAAATCATAGCTCCATTCTGAATCCTCCACAGAAGGTTTTCTTTTATTAAATACTTCAGCTGTAGAAGCCAGCAATGGATCAGCAACACTCATCATTATGACTGACTAGTATCCAAAAATATAAAATCAATAAAAACACGTTACTCTAATATTTTTAACTTGCAATTGTTGCTTGTTTATAACGGAGCAAAGTGGATATAAGCAAAATTGATATAAACAATAAAAAAATATATCAACTCAGATTTTACTTTAACAGCCGCTGTATAATTATTTCAGCATTGATGAGAATTGACTGAACTTTATAAAAAACCATTTATTATTAATCCTTAGGCTTGATGAATTCCACATAAAATTACAAAAATTAATTTTGAAATTTCTTTATTCTATGTTAAACGGAGTAGACAGCAAGAAAGAAATGAAAGGAAGGATTCTATTATGGAATATTTCAAACGTTAAATTTACGAAAGTAACATCCACAATCTTGGAAACAGAAGCATAAAGCGCAGATAACAAAGCATAAAGGAATATGTTATGATAAACAGTTTAAAGATTAACAGCTATCAAGGAATCACCTTATTAAAACCCAGTCTTTTGTGTTCTCCTTCTTAGAGGCCTAGTTTGATTATGTTGCTGTTAGATTGATCCACACATTGCAAGAACTACTTAATCCATCATACTTTAATATCTTAATAACCCATCATACTTGGATAATCCTCCAAACTTTTATTTATTATAATATCAAAATACTTTATACTATTGTACAAATAATTATTCAAATTATAATAAATAAAAATTCTATAGTTGTTTATCATTAAAATTTTATGACTTTATTTAAAAATGTTGTAACTTTTATTTCAGTCCGTTAAATAGAAATTCCAAATCATTATTATAGTTCTTTATTTATACGCTTTTCTATTTATTTGATATATTTATACGCTTTTCTATTTATTTGATATATTTATACGCTTTTCTATTTATTTGATATATTTATACGCTTTTTTATTTATTTGATATATTTATACGCTTTTCTATTTATTTGATATATTTATACGCTTTTCTATTTGTTTGATATATTTATACGCTTTTCTATTTATTTGATATATTTATACGCTTTTCTATTTATTTGATTCAATTGAAAAAATTTCAGAAAAAATAATTCTCTTATTGTAAAGCTTATTGAAAGTCTCCCTGAGAGAGAGAGTTAAGTTGTACTTTTCGTTTGAGTGCTAGCGCGATTAGTTTCTTTTCATGCAAAATATTTGTGTTAGCCATTCTATGACGCGTGAAGTTAGTAAAGGATTCGTAATAGTAAGAACTATGTTTTGTTGGTAAACATAAAAATGAATTATTTGCTTATAACAAATGTCTCGTGTAAAAGAGAATATCTTTTATTATCTGATATTGATTTTATACATAAAAGCACATTTAAATATGCAAAGTGGACGGGCTTTGCTTAACCGCATTGTAACAATTTTTCAAATATTTGCTTTACATTCATAAATTGTTGCGAATCCACAAATTCCCGCTTGTATTAAACTGTCCATTCCAAAAATAGATTATTCAATTTGCTTATTTACGTATCAATTACATTTGTTAAAAAAAACTTTGATAATAATTGGTATTGTTTTTACTAATTTGACGAATTTATAGTATAACTTATTAAATATTTGCTAATCAATCTTTAGAGAAAATACCTGAGTTCACAAAAAAGAACTACCTTCCTTTTTGTAACAAGTTAGTTTTGCTAGCGAAGAAATTTATATTTCTTCATGTTTTTTCTATATATTTTCAAATTTAAGCTATTTCAAATTTAAATATTAACATGTATTTTACCTAATTCTAACCTCACGATATTACCCATATCACAAGGTTAGAATTATCTTGTTATCTCCACTTTTTGAACATAGAATTTTTGATTGTGTTATGTACCTAAAATTAATGTTTTTCTACTGTACTGATGCCTAAGTTATTATCAAAAAGTTGCGGAGAAAGCATAACTAATTAAAAATCTTTGAATATGCCATCTCCTAAAGTTTTTATTTTTCAATCGTTTTATCTCAAAACTCTAAAATATGGAGATAGAACAATTCTAACCACGCAATATTTTAACGTCATGGTTAACAGGTTTTTTATCGTTAAATTTCCACGTCATTCTGCCTTTTAACTCGGTATCAATATTAAACGTCAAATTGACACTGTTATTGTTCATGTAGCGCTTGTTTATTAAGCGACGGATTACCAGTGATCGTAATTTAAAAAAAAAGCCATAGTGGAAAAGTTATCTCTTATAAAGATAAATCAGAACATGTTTTATAAAACATATTGTTCAACATAGCATCAATACCAGTAATTATTGGATCAATATAACCCTTGCATCATATTATTTGCACAGCGGACCCTTGTGTCTAGTCTTATTACGCAATAAAGTGATGGTTCTTACTTACCTCGTAGCTAATGATGTGGCAATCTTTTGATGAAGTTTGTGATTGTGAAAAAAATATGTTAATATGAATAGGTTACAATAAATCCCTCATTAAGTTTTAAATTCTATTATAACAAATACTACAATCTTTACAACTTAAATTATATTATGTTATTATTAATACCATTATTAATACTACTTTAACTTAGTGACATATTTATTATACTTTCAAACCTGCAATCCAAATACTTTTGTATCCAGTTCCCAAAGAGTGGCAAAGAAAAGACTAAGACAAATATTTAAAAGTGTTGCATTCAACATTTTTTTTCCTTGCGTCATCAAGTTTTTTTTCCTTCATTCAAGTCATTTCATGAAAATATCTTATGAAAAGAGCACATACACCATTTAGATACTAAAATAAGAAATAACATTTGTATGCTTTACAATGCTAGACCAATATTTGTATGCTTTACAATGCTAGACCAATATTATCTCAAGAGATTTTAAAACATCTTTATTTTATTTTTATTTTTTTTTTTTTTGATTTAACCCAGCGGGCACAGACGTGTGTAGGACGTTTATACAACGTCTATATGGACGTCACGAATTCGCAAGACGTCTTTAAGACATCCAGTAGATGTTTTGGGTCTCTGGGTAACCTATTAAACGTATGGTAACATAGTCGTTAATAATTTTTTGCTCATGAATTGTATTGATAAATCTATATATTTACAATTGCATATTCAAATCTACAAAAATGTTTTTTTATATAAAACAGTATAATAATTGAAAATTTATAGAAATAAAAATTTGTTGAAACAATTTGATGGGTTATTTCAATTAATATATAATTGTAATTGGTTATTAACGAAAGATTTATCTGGACTTTTATTTTTTTAATTTTTTATTGTTTCTTAATTCCCAATTAATATCAAAGTTCAGCAATTGTCAGAGAATTAGGAACTTTACAATATAAAATTAAGAGAACTGAATCAATATAAGTTAATAAAGGATTATGATTCAATACAAATTTGTAACGTCTGGAAAGAATATCTGATTCTTTCTGTCAGTTTTTAAAATATATTTTGGCATCGTAATGATAAAACTTAAATATGTTTTAAACATTATTTTTCTATTTAAAAGTTGCTATGGTATTTTTTCTTTTAACTTAAATTGAAACAATAAAAGATTTCAAAAAGAATCTTTTTTAGTCAAATTATGGCAACACAAATGGTGTGGATTTAACTTGTTTTTTTAGTATTTTATTATAAAAGTATTATTTATAAATATAGAGTCATTCAAATTATATGTAACCTTTTTTTTTGTATATTTCAAAATTATTCTTTCAAACATATGAGAGTTTCTGATATTATTATAAATTTCTATAAATTCAATTTTATGCTAATAAAAATTATTATTTAGTAGTTTTTTTATTACATTTAATTTTAGCAGTTCTTGGTGACAAGACCACTCGTTTATCAAATATTGTTAACGTTTATTCTTTTTAACTCTATGTAATTTTATTGCTTGTATCATATATTTGAATGAAGTTTATAATAAAGACCAAAAGAAAAAAAGAAAAAAAAAGTATGCTTATATCACACAACAACAACATTAGTTACATTTGTCATACGTTACATATGTTGTATGTTGTACTCAACTATTATTAAGTTTTAATATATTTTATATTTATCACACCAATATTATATATATAGTTATACTTATACAAATAAATATATTTATCACACCAATATTAAATATATTTATACTTATACAAATAAATATATTTATCACACCAATATTAAATATATTTATACTTATACAAATAAATATATTTAGCTCTTTAAGGTCTTTGTAAATTTATGGCGATGGTAACAATTTCCCGATAGTTTAGTAACTTTTAAAATAAATTTGTTATTTTAATTAATTCAATTGAATTAAATAATTTATGACAACCAAGGTAGTTAACCATTTTAATATCGGTAATCCTGGAAATAAAATTTAGAAATTATATAAATAAAAATAAAATTAGAAGAGTTGTTACTGTGTTTTTTATTTATATAGTAACATAAAAGGTATCTAACTGTAACGACATTGTAATGAAATGTAATTCAGACCACCAAGAGCATACATAATGTTTATATACATAGAGCCTATATTCAGTGCACTGGTGCCCAGTTTTTTTCTATGTTAATATTTTTAACACAAGTTTTGCATTAGGATTTTAAACATTATATTTTAAATGCAAAAGAAATAAAGTTTGAATTAATTATTATTATAAAACAAATTTATCTAATTAAGTTTTTATTGATTACATTTGTTTAATGATATTAAAATGATTTTTAAACTTGAACCCAGTGGCGGATTGAGGTTTAGTATCGCGGGGGGGGGGGGGGGGGGCAAGTCAATAAATCGGGGCGACCGGGGTCGTCTTCAGTAATTTTATCTTATAATTTTTTTTTTTTTTTGATTGTTTTAGGGGGCGCCGTTAGACCGTTCTAGGGGGGCGTGGGGGAAAGCTCGCCCTCCCCCCCCCCCACGTCCTTTACTAAACCCGCGACTGCTTGAACCCAGTGAGCAGGGTACGTTTATTATACGTTTTACGAATGTATTATGGTTATTTATTACAAGGATAAAATTTTTTTATTACATAGATAAAGCAAAAGCTTTTATTCGAAGTTTTTTTAGTTAAAAAGTGCAATAAAAAAATAAAAATAAAAACATGAACAGGTCTTATTATTAGGATTTAATTAGATTTAACTTGATTAAAAGCGCGATTAAATAATCTTATTATTTAAAAATGTATACCCATATATAAGAATATTACTTCAAATAAGATAATATAATCTTATTATTTGAAAATATACACACATAAATAATATTACATCAAATAAGGTATGTCAATCAAAAAGCAAAACAAAAAAAAACGAACTTTTAACAGAACTTAAGTCCGGTAAATATTCTAAAGTTTCAAGAGTTTGAGGTCCATTTGTAATAAATTTTTGTTTAAAACTTTTGGTTTCCGAAGAAAAATACGATTATATTAAAAAGATTTGTTTAAACTGTTTTGCGCTACAACAAGATGAGTTGCTCCGCGACTAATT